AACGGGGTGGTTTTTAGTCAGTAAGAGTCTGACCAGAAGTTATTCGATGATTTTCCCCCCTTAAAAAAATGGGCATTGGCTTTCCGTAGTCTCTGCCTACTCCCATTGGAGACCGGTGTGAGGTTATGGATGTATGTATTAATTACCTATATTCTTCTTGAATTACTGATCGAAAAAATTTATATTTGTATAATTAGGCACATATTATAATGTTTGCATCATGATTTTAGATTGACACGTTACTAGCTTCTGTTAGCGGTATTTATTATACCTCTAACTATGTATGTGTATGTTTCCAGGCGGTTTTCGTGTACGGAACCGACATTGCGGATCAAGATGGTTTATAACCGGCGTGAATCTAGCAAGCCAGGTCCTGTAGCCCCGCCGAGACAAAGGGTAGGGGCAGGGAACACTTGGAGTAACTTCCAAAAACCCAAGTGAGTAGATCTATCTGTGAAGGGTACTTAGTAACATTTTTTTAAAATAAGTTCGCAGTTTGAACTGTATCTTTGTGCGCTATTATCTCGCGATGGGCTGAACCAATATTGATGGATTTTCAGAAAAGTGTATGTTACACTTAGTTTCAGAACAGGAAGGCATTAAAGTCTTTTTTATTTATTTGTATGTCATGGCCATGAGTGCATTTATAAACACATTATTTCACATAGTTTTCATAAAGCAATACTTACTTTGTATTCCTTAGTGCGCACGCGGGAGAATCTCGTGAAAACATTTTGGTGGCATCTGATGCAGTAAGGAAGGCTACAGAGCGCCGTATATCTGGGGGCACGACCACGTCAGGCCGTAAGCAGAACATGCGGCTCCTCGCCGTGCATGCCGTGGTGTTTCTGCAGACACGACCGCAACATATGAGTGTGGGTCAGTAATAGTCAGTATACTTCAAGCAATTTTCTCAAAGACGTCTTAATTTCTTCTTATTCAAGCCTTTTCTTCCATAAATCCCAAACATCAAGTAGTAGCTACTGTCAGCCGATACCTATCATATTCCTTCATCATCAGGCCCCTAATGACAGTCATACCCCATTTAAGTCTAAAGTTCCCATCACTATAAATTAATCAAGCCCAAACACCAGGTAGCTACCGTTAACCGTTGAGGAGTTCCTTTAGCTATCAAATTACTTCATCATCAGGCCCCTAATGACAATAACTTTACATCTAGATGTGAAGATCTTCTCAATACAAATAATTTAAGTCCAAACACGGGGTCATTGCTACGTAAATCCTCGAGGAGTTCCCTCGGCTGTCTCTTGACTTCATCATCAGATCAACTCCATACCTTCATTAAATTGCAGTGGTTTTAAAAACTATATAAAAAAAAATTTACAAACGCTCTCGCCACCTATACAATTTTGAAAAGTTCCCTTTGGTTTCCATGGGATCCTCTCATCAGATCCTGACCTGGTGGAAATGGGACCACCCCGAGAGTATGACCTTTCCAACAAAAAAAGAATCATGAAAATCCGTCAACAAACGTCGGAGTAATCGGGTAACATACATGATAAAATAAAAAATAAAATTAATACAAAAAAAAAGAAAAATACACACAGCCGAACTGATAACCTCCTCCTTTTTGGGAAGTCGGTTAAAAAGTACAAATCATCTTTTTCAGTTTTTTTAATAGACGCGATTGGTAGGAAATTATGTATGTAGGTACATAAGTATTATTATTATTACTCGGAGTAGCAAATGACCGGAAAGTGGTGTTCATTTATTTATTATTCTCTAGCTAGTCTCCTATTGGCGCTAGAAAATGGTCAAATACAGTGTTGGTCGGACCATTCGGCGGGTGGCTACCAAGGATCATTCCAGGTCATCCACATGGCGGGCGACTACGCGTCGTGCCTGGCCACAGATAAAAACAACGAGTTCCTGTTTACGGGCACAACCCTAGGCTACGTGAAGGTGTGGCTCATGACCAACTATCTCATTAACGATCTGGTGAGTCTCTTTGCTTATTTGACAGTATTAAAGTGTGCTTAACAGATATTTCAGAGATTTGTTTTGTGTTAATTTCTCAGGTTCATGTTAATATGCCGCGGCTCCGTCTGATGTTCCCGTTCCTGTGGCGTGACCGCATCGAGGGTCGCGCCAAGCGCAGTGTGCGGGACCAGCCCAAGCCGCTGCTACTGAACAGCTACCGCGCACACCTCCGCAGTATCACCTCTATCGCATACATTGATGAACATAAGCTTGTGTTCACGTAAGCTTTAATTTTATCTGTGACATTATAGTAACTAGTACCTACTAGATTCCAAATTACCTAAGACAATTTTAGCGACACGATTCAATGCCTTAACTTACCGATTGTCCTATAATCACCTATACGTATTAGCAACAATAACAAACAGCAAATACTTTTTCCAGCGGCAGTTCAGACTACAGCGTTCGAGTGTGGCGTCTGTCAGGCGAGTACCTGCAGACACTGGGGAGCTTCCTGCCGTGGACCCTGGAGGTGACGCGCTTCCCGCCAGACGTGAAGAAGGTCGCCAGCTTCACCACGTTCAAGGTGAGCGCCAGGCGGTGGCAACACGCCGCGTCACAATGTGATGAGGGCGGCAGTGAACCAGTGCGTGATGTCTGCAGGTGTGGCGCAGTGGCCAAGTGTCGCGCTACGTGCCGGGGCAGAAGGTGGTGGACAAGCTGCACGATATCACAGTGCACGAGCTTAAGACCAAGACCTACGGCGAAGCACCCAACGAGCCGTTGCTTGGAAAGTACTCCTCGCTGCCACAACGACCTGACCAAATAGATCCAATTCCACTCGACGATTCATTGCCTATAGTGAGCACTTATAACTTTCAAACAATTAAATTGTATGAGATATCGAGCAGATTAATAGACCGATGTATTTTTATTGTGTTCAGTTATTAATTACATTATTTTTCGATGTGCTGCAGATACCGATCTACGCACACTTGCGCATGGCCTCAACGCAGCCAGTGCGACGTCCACCAACCCCTGAACTAGTTCGCGAAACACGATTGAAGCGCGTGAAATCAAAGAAAACCCACTTTGGCTCAGATGCGCATGTGTCTCAAACGATAACAGGACGACCATCTCAGGTCACTCAGGGACAGCCAGCACAGTCTGCGCACGGGCAGCCAACACATCGCCGCCAGACGAGCTCGAGCCGAGATAATTAGCTCCGTATTCCACAGTAGCCAAGTGTAGCGTGACCTGCGTGCCACACGGACCAGCAACAGCGAGCACCATGCCACTGTGTCACGCCGCCATGCGCCACCGTTATAAAGCTCGGGTGGGTTCCTGGTCGGTGATGCGAGCAAATTGTTTTAATTTTATTATTTATATTCTATAATTTATTTAATCGTACATTTTTATTATGTACATATGTTTATTTTTAGTATCTTTTTTATTTTAGAACATTAAACTGTTCACAACTTATAAAACAAATATTTTGTAGTTTTACTTTTAATCTTACACTATGTTTTCTCGACAAATATTTGACTAATTAGTGGAATTTGTTGTATTTTTCCTTATATCCCGTGGATTGTAATAAAATAATGAATTCTTTAACCTTGTCGTGAGGTGAGGTACGGTATACCCAAGTATCTAGTATAATAAAATAGTTGATGAGCTGATGATGGAAGGTACAACTCAATGGATAAGATCAAAAAAACACCTTCAAAATTATACTTATACATACATTATGGGTGTGGCCTATCATTTGTTTGCGTTAGGTATACTTTCACTTGTTAGCCTATACAGGGCCTATACCTAGTAAATAAAATTAGTCGCGGAGAACCTAACGAGTAACCGGGGCTCCGTCTCGACGTGCAGGAGAAGGAACATGGTGGTTTTTAGTCAGTAAGAGTCTGACACTACCTCCCGCCTCACCCAGGCGGGAGTAGTCATTCGATGATTTTCACCCCTTAAAAAAAAATAAATTAAAAAGGAAAAAATAAAACAACGATTAAAAAAACTGACTTCAAAAAAATATACTAAAACTGAAAACAAACAAAGTATTGTTATTCACTGTACTACTCATTGATAGTTTAGGAGTGTGTGGCACACACACTCATGGAATAGGGAAAATATTTTCCATCGTGCCACAAGCGTCACAATTCCAAAATAAAATATAACTTACCGATCAAGTTACCGATACTATGCCTATAATTGTTTGTAAGCTGCTTAATGTATTCACATAACATAACATCAAGCCTTTTATCCCCGAAGGGGTAGGCAGAGGTGCACATTTTGCTACTGTACAATGTAACACCCACTTTTTACTATTTATGTTATGAGTCCCATGTAATAGGCGGTGAGCTTATTGCCATATACCGGGCACAATTACCCAGTAATACTTTGCACAATTACCCAGTAATACGTTGCACAATATTAACCCAGTAATACTTTGCCCGACCCGGGAATCGAACCCGAGACTCCTTGCCCGGCAGTCGCACTGGCGACCACTCGGCCAACGAGGCAGTAGTATGTACTACTTAGGTTTAAATTGGGTTTTAATAAATCAATTATGTTAAGACCAAGTTTTGACATTGATAATACGAAGGCAGCCGCAGCCCGGTGAGTAAATACTTTGCCAACAAACAAACAAACGAACATTTGGAAATATTTCTCAAAGTGGTCCCCTTTTAGCTCGATACACTCGACCATACGATGCTCCAACATTTTTCCCTCTGAAAATTACTTTTTCTCGTTGTCAGGAAAGTAGGGTTCTGTGGCGGCGATGACTTCATCAGTTGACTCTTTCTGCCCGGCGAGTGCTTCAGTGGGCAAGTGGGCTGTCGGCAGTGGCCCACATTGTTACGAACTTTTTAATACAGTTAAACTTTTTCTTACATTTTCATAAGGACTATTCTATAGGACTTGACACTGAAAGCAAATAATCAATACACAATCGGATGTCGTAATTATAAAGTATCAAATCGTCATATTAAATTATTTTGAATAATTAAATATTTACAAAGGTTTCGTTCATATTGTGTATTTTTTTACGAATAATGGCCCGTGAACTTAATATAGATATGCGGTCTCAAAGTATATTGAGCATGTCTGAATTAGGGAGCACAAATGTTGTCGGACAAGCACGGTGGCGTAATGCACCCCTACACGACCGGTGTGGTATGAACGACATGAGGAACATCAAGGCAGCTTTTCAAGTAGCGTTCAATAATAAAATGACACCTGTAGAATTTAGAGCCCTACTGAAGACTCTCCTGGATGTGGATTATGACGACGAAGATTTTAACATAATGTTTATGAAGGTATAAATCCCTAAAATGACTTCTAAATTGAAATCAGCACTTCAAAAAGTTGTAAAAATGAATACTTTACTTTAACAGATACACGACTGATATAATGTTTTCATGCTCTGCGTAGGGTGAGCACCGCCGTGCCCTCAGGAGTATGATCGGCGACGGCGACCTCTTACGTCCGTAACTAGTCCGGGCTATTATACGGAGCGAGGAGGACTGGGATGCCGGCTCCCCCTTTTGTGAAGCAGTCATGCTAGCTAACGAGGAGGCGGGACGCGTGAGGCACACAACGTGCCTCACAAACCAAGCGTCGCGAAGTTCACTCTGGACGTGGGGGAACGCGGAACGATCGCCGGCCACCGTAAGCACGGGCCTGCGGACGACGAGCACAGGTAGCTCGCCGCCCGACTAGAGCCAGACCATAATGCGCGACTCGTTCCGCGCGCGCCTCAAAGATGTATTAGACCACCACGGATGGGGCCCCATAAGGTGGTTTTTAGTCAGTAAGAGTCTGACACTCCCTTCCTCCTTACCCAGGCGGGAGAAGTCATTCGATGATTTGCCCCCTAAAAAAAAGTGTATAGTGTACCTACCTATACACACAGTACACTAGTTACACTACACTCAGTCGTCAACACTCTTTCGTTCTCGTTCTTGAAAACCGGATGTACTGGTAATGGACTCCATTAGGACTACCTGTTACCATTACTGGCTACCGTAGCCTCCGTACCTTACTTGTCTGAACTGTCTCTACGGTACATTCACTAGGGTAGCTCTTCTATTAAGGTACAAGTACTGTTTTATTGATTGGCTAACTTAATCTAAGCAAATTATAATAATGACACTCAGATAAACACCAGTCGTACTGGTGAGATCGACTGGGATGAGTTGGTGTCACACCTGATCCTCGGCTACTTTGGAAACGACGCTGAAAACCAGCGGGAGTCCTTGCAGCCACCTATCATGGGGCTGCCCGTCATCATGAACTCCCAGCACAGGCATCCAATATCTAGGATATGCTTCTGCCCTGATGTCGACAAGGTAATTATTAAAATAAACTGCTGGTGTAACAAGCCACGCGACATCAGAGATGTTAATAATATTCTGTGACAGGATCGCTGCACGGATCCGATGCAGGGCACGTACATTACTGCGAGCCGCGACGGCATGGTCAACTGGTGGTCACTGGACATGAAGCTGCTGAGAACTGCCTACTCCTCGAGCCGTAAGATAAAAACCTCAAATAAATAAACATTATTCAAGGGAATGTTAGCACTCATGCACGTGATTAGACTGTATGCGCGATTATGATCTTTGGTCCATACATTTTTACTCTGTGTCTTGGTGTGTTTGTATTCTTCTTGGTGGTAGCAATAAAACTGGTACTATCTTAACATAGTAAAAAAATAAACGTACCGCAGAATTGATGAGTGAATTACCTAATAAAATTTTGCAGCCCAATTGAAAGTCCGCACGACGTGGGTGACGGACATGGTGTGCATGCCCGACGTGAACATTATCGTCACCAGCTCCACCGAGAGAGACCTGCGCTTCTACGACTGCACCGCCAAGAATTTTACTTTGAAAATAATAATCACTAGTTGGGAGTATATGGTAAAGTTTCGTGTCTTGTAAAGACTTTTGATTGACTACGGTGGAAGTTTAAAGTCTGTTTTGTTGGTGATCTGTAACATTTCTAGACATTGTTGTTTTCAGATCTGTACGATGCATTACCATTTTAACAAAGACGAAAAACAGCAATGCATGCTGATCTGTGGCGACGTGGGGGGGAACGTGCGGCTGCTGCTGTTCTCGCCGATCCTACGAGGGCCCTTCCAGAGCCAGGCTGGTGTTGCCACGATATCGCTACGACACGTGGATTTGCAGAGACGGGTGACGAAACTGGATTTATTGGTCGAGAGAGCATATTATAAGCATAACATACA